AAGCGCAATGACAAGACAATGTGGACACGGTTCTCATTTCATGCATGTTAACTCTCTAAAGCAAAGTTGTATATATCTACTTCCTTTTACAAAGAGAACGGGATCAAAGGACACACGCTGTTCCCCATCAGACCTACACAAATCAGATGACTGATGCAGTCAGTTCTCCTCAACAAATGGTTGGAAATACTACATTGCTGATTGGAAGATAACTCATTTTTAAAAAAGCAACATTTTGAAGTATTGTGGTTTAAACTCTTGACAAATATTCTTTATAATATAAAAGCTTCTGTTAAACCCTGGTAGTGACTTTGGATTTGAGACATTGCTAGCAGATAGGACTGGGTGCTCAAAGGGAATCATGACCATGTTGTAACAATGGTGCCAAATATGAAGGGCCACAAAAATATGTTAACAAATGGCAAAGGGATGCTGACTACAGAGATGAAAACACTTGGTTATTGTGTTCCCACAAGTTTATGAATCAACTATAAGAGTAAACTTTAAGTTACCAAAGGGGAAGGGACTTACTATTTTGCTTTTAATCATTCCAAAGTTTATGCAAACTTTTTTTGCATAAACTTTGTAATCAAGGATACAGAGATCGTTCTTCAGCAATCTACTTTAGTAAGATATGAGAGGTAAAGATACTGGAAAAATTGTCATTATAGAAGAACACATCTTTGCATCCACTATTTCATAAATACTTCTTAGGGAAAAAGGATATCATTTAAAAATTTTTTAGTCAAGAAAAAAATGTATACAAGATCTATGTTTTTGGTGATTGTTTATTTTGGAAAAATAGGTAAGTTATTCCCATAAGCAAATAAATAAATAACCTATGGCACTGTAATCTATTGCCTAGAAAAATACTGAAAGGTAGGTTGAACATGATATGCAATTTATTTTTTCTTTGTACTTTTCTTTCTTACAATTTTCTACTCTGAAATGTATTACTTTTATAATCAGAAATAGTGAAGGAGGCAGACTACATTGATTCATTAGAAAAAAATTTACAAAAGGTTATTACTCAGAGCAAAGTGATAGGATTACAGTAAATAAACAATCCTTGCCTTTTAGGAGTTTGCAATCTAGTACAGGACGACAGTAAACAGCAATTACATTAGAATAAAATACGAGCAATGCAGGGGAACGCAGGTGCCACGGGTTCACACAGAAAGGGCACTTTTGACAGTTCGCAGTGAGGTGGCAGAGCAGGGAATGCGAGTTAGAAAAGGTCTCTCCAGGAAAAGAAAAGAGGGACGTAGTGTAGTGTTGCAGGAGAAGGAGGTACTCATCTTTACTCACTCATGTAGCAATCTTTACTTATGTGTCAAGCTAGGCGGTGGTGATGTGACTGGGAGCAAAACGTGGCTGTCCTCCTGAGGAAGCAGGGAAGGCAGACAGAGCAAGTCATCATGCAAATAAACAGAGAAGAGTTGTTAAAAATGATGAAGCATAAAGCAGCACCAAGTACCACGTAAGTTTTCCTGAGTGTTATAAAATGAGTAAGCAAGCCTAGGCAGCATCAAAAGATTTCATGTGGGTATGATGATTGAGCTGAGATCTGGACAGGGCAGAGTCAAGGGGAAACTTGGTCCAAAGGCACGGTCTAGAGGAGGAAGACGGCACCAAGCCCAGTAATTTCTTCCAGTCATTCTCACCAGTCTTTGTTATTCAAATGAAATTTTGAGAAGAGTTCCAAAGACTCCCTCCAACTTCCCATCCAACTAGAATGCCATAATTATGTCCTTCGGACACGGTAGTTATAAATGATGTGAGAGGTGGGCTCCTGCTAAACAGGCTAAGGGAAGATGGGATGGGGAGGGGAGAAGAGCCTGAAGGAACAACATGTGTGACTGCTCGGAGCTAGGAGTAAGAAGACTTCTTTGAAACTCTAAAAAGAAACAAAGAACAAGACCTAGAGTATAAAGCAGGTACTACGGGAGTAGACATAAAGCTATTAGGTTATTAAGTATGAAATGTCTGATTTCCTTCTGTACTAAGTTTGACAGTTGACATCTCTGACATTTCACTTTGACTATTCTAGTTTTATTTTTATTGTAAAGGTACATCCTCAGTCTTTCAAACACCTGGTTTTGCTTGTGATTATCTTTCAAAACTTTTTTAGAGCAATTTTTGTGAAACCATGGATAAGTCAAAAATTCATGTTATTTTCAAGTATAAGTTCCGTCATGGAACCAATGCAGCAAAGACAGCTCGAAATATTAACAAAGTGTTTGGGAAGGATGTGGCTAATGAACACACAGTACGTTGATGGTTTGAGAAGTTCCATTCTGGTGATTTTAATCTTGAAAATGAACCATGTGGGCGACCTGAGACCAAGGTGGATGATGATGAGCTGAAAGCTGTAGTGGAGGCGAATCCATCTCAATCTATGTGTGAATTTGCAGCAAGGTTTGATGTTCCTATTCCAACAATATTGGACCATTTGAAACAAATGGGCAAGATAAAGAAGCTGGGTAGATGGGTTCTGCATGGTAAACACATGTCAGAAGAGAAATCATCTCAAAGCTTGCCTTTCTTTGCTGTAATGACATAAGGCAAACTATTTCTATACCATATTGTGATGCGATGAAAAATGGATTCTTTTTGCCAATCGCAAGCGTTGGGCACAATGGTTGGATAAAGATGAAGTGCTGAAACACAGACCAAAACCAAATATTCATCAAAAAAAGCTGATGGTATCTGTTTGGTGGTCCAGTGCTGGTATTATCCACTACAGCTTCATGAAACCTGGTCAATAGATTACAGCGATGTCTACTGCAACTAATCGGACGAAACAATAAGGATGCTTGTGATTAAGCAGCTGACACTGGTCAATAGAGACAAGCCAATCCTCTTGCAAGACAACACTCAACCACATGTCTCATAAACAACACTGCTCAAACTATAGAGGCTGGACTTAGAAACTCTCTGTCATCCACCATATTCACCAGACCTTGCACCAACTGACTACCACTTCTTCCAGGCTTTGGACCACTTCTTGCAAGCAAAAATATTCAATTCTCAACAAGCTGCAGAAAACGCCTTTCACCATTTCCTTGCCACTATCTCTCTAGGCTTCTTTGCTGCTGGCATAAAGAAGCTACCATTAAGATGGCAAAACTGTGTCAATAGTTTAGGTGCATACTTTGATTAATTGTACTGCTTCCTGTTTGAGATATAATAAACCACACTTCTGATTTGAAATCAGACATTTCATACTTAATGACTTACCAGGATGAGCACGGTGTTTATCCTAAAAGCAACAAGAAACCACTGAAAGGTTTTAAACAGCGAGAGGCAAGATTAGATCTGTGCTTCTAAAAGATGATTGTGAGGAAAATGAAATCATGCGCCTTCTGACAATATATACCAACATTGGTATGGTATTTCCACCAAAAACAATAACCCTAACCTAGTCATGAGGAACATCAGAGAAACCCAAATTGAAAGATGTTATATGAAAGAATTAGCCTGTACTCTTAAAAACATCAAGGTCATAAAAGACAGACAGACTGAGAAAGCCTTCCAGATTAAAGGAGAATAAAGACACGACAATTGAATGCAATGCATGATCTGGATGGGATCCTGGACCAGAAATTATTATTTTTCTTTTTTACTAAAAGGGCTTTCTAGTGAAATATGAATTGGTAAAACTGGGCAAGTATGAATAAGGCATATGGATACTGGTATACTATCAATGTAAATTTCCTAATTTTGATTATTATACCAGGGATATGTAAGAGAATATCTTTGCTCTTTTGACATATGCACTCAAGCATTTTGGGTAAGGAGCATCATGCTTCCACCTTACTCTCAAATAAAATTATATAAAGAGAAAATGCACATATATAAAGAGAAAATGATAAAGTAAATTTGTTAAAATGCCAACAAATTATTAAGGGTAATTAGTTGTTGTTTATATTATTCTTGCAGCTTTTCTGTACATCTGTAGGATTTCAAAGTAAAAAGTTACACAAAAAGATGACTTTGGATTCAGTCAGCGGCAAGATCAGAACTGAAGAAACTAGTTAGGAGGCTTTAGTAGTAATGCTATAAAAGATGATGATGACTACAGCAGCACTGAAGGTAAGCGACTGGATTCTAGAACTATTTAGAAGGTAAAAATGACAAGGCTTAATGAAAGATTGAATACAGGGAAGTGAGGAAGAGGGGTGTTCCTAAGTTAACTCCCAGTATTTCTGGATTTTGTAACAGGACGACATCCACTAAGATAGGAAACTTGGGGAAAAGCAGGTCTGGCAGGGTATCTTCTCTTCTTCTGGACCAAGTCTGCTCATGAATTCAGTTTAGGGCATATTGAGTTTTAAGGTGAATCCAAAGGTACATCCAAGAAGAGAAATGGAATAGGCATTTCAGACACATGAATCTAGAACTCAGAAGAGAATTATTAACTAAAGACACACATTTTTAAGGTATTGCTTGGATGGTTATTGAAAACATGAGCTTTTATTAAATTCCCTTGCTGGAGACTATGATAGCCAAGCATCGGACACTGAAGAATTCCAATACATGAAGGGGAAGATGAGTCTCCAAAGTGTGTAGAAAAGGAAGAGTCAGAGAAGAGGAAAACTAGGAATGCATTAGCATGGAAGCCAGTGCTGCTGGATGGTCAAACAAGATGAGGACTGACAGATGCCTGTCATATCTAATGATGGGAAAGTCATTTTTGACCCCAGTGAGAACTGTTCTAGTGGAGTGGTGTGGGCAGAGTAGAGACTGGACAGAGTTTAGGAATGCTGAAGGGGAAAGTGGAGTTGAGAGGTTAAAAAAAATTTTTTTTTAAATTTTAAGTTAAAAGTGACTGATCATAATTAAATGAGAAGGACTGAGTGAAGATGAAAAGGTCCAAGACAAAGGTATATAATAATAATTTAATTAATTAGTTAATTATAATAGTGAAAGGACTCTGAAAAGGCGAGGAGGGATGGGATCAAGACACGATAAAGTGATTCATTCACACAATTTTTACTGAGCAGCTACTACAAGCCAAGAACAGCTGTAGGTACTGGCGATATAGTGGAGAACAAATAAAATCCCTGCCCTTATGAAACACACCTTTTAGTGGAGAAGAAAGACAATAAATAAAGTAAATATGTATATATAATGTAGTACGTGGTGTGAAGACAGTTAAAGCAGGCTGAGGGAGAGGAGCACTATTTTAAGCAAGTGTGTCTCTAAGGTTTCTGGCCTAAGCAAGAGGAGATACCTTTTGTAAGGAACTATATGGAATGCCAACCACCCCACTGGCATAACTTCCCTCTGAGAGTAAAAGAATGGCAGAGGGAAGAGAGGGCAGAAGTGGATTACAGTGCTGAGCCAGGGCTGTGAGAACAGAGGAATTAGATAATGATGAGAAAGAACAGGAAGGGAAAAACAAGCAGCTGGGACCGTCTGCCCAATTCTGGTTTCGATTACCCAGGAAATTCATGACCTTGCAGAGCAGGTTCGCCTCCCTTTTGGAAACCTTCATGGTACCTTGTGTATTATTTTTTTCAGTAATTATCACAAGCATATAGCTGTTTTCTAATCACAACTATAATTAAATCTTCAAATGTATGATGTCTTTCTCCCAGACAAACTGTAAGTTCCATGAAGGAAAGCTGCCTTATTTATCTCTGCATCCCCTGCTCCAGCACAGTGCAGAGTCTTAATAAACATCAAATGAATGAACGTTTTGCTCTTTGGAGGGGAACAGACATTATCAGGTTACTTTAATAAGAAATAACTGGTCAGTCACATAAATATTCCCTTATCTTTTTTGGATAACATCTGTGGATGGTATATGTATTTCTAAGTGCTGGGTGTAACTATAACAGAATCTCATCAGCTTTACATAAAATATAATGTGGAATTATCTCTCACTTTATCCCACCTTATTATATCCTTAAGCTCAGAAAAACCAAGGGTTGATTATAATTTTTCTAGATGGTTCATGGGGTTATTATTGTGAATAACCACTGTACTCAGTGATGTCTTCAGGAATGACTGAGATAAATGAGGAGGTTCACCCAGCTTGCTATGCTTTTGAGCTCTTAAATCTGCTTTAGATAGCTTTTCTGTCTCCTCTCTTATATGTGGTATCACTTTCTGCTATGGTGAGTATATTTGCTTCCACAAGTTAGCCACTTCTTTTATAAACTGCAGCTTCTAAATAGTGGCATGTGAGGAAACCAACTTCCTAAGACAAAGTCTTAGTTAAGTGCAAACGGCATTGATTGTAGCCCTGAGGCAATGTGTCTGATTTAAGACATGGACTTGGGCTACATTTATGGTTGTATGATATCTAAAGTTGCTAGTATGAAAATAATGCACAGATGCCTTTTGAAAAGAAATGTCAGACTCCATGATGCTAAGTCCCTGAAAAGGCAGCAAAATAATTCCAAAGCTCAATTCTTGGGCTCATCAGTTGACCATGTATCAGCTCTTACGTGAACTAACAAGAAAGATGAAATATACATGACCTCAGTTGCACTGAGCAGTTGCAGGAACCTTTTACAGAAGCTCAGAAGAAGTTATGATAAAGAAGTCAATCAATAAATCAATAGAACACTTTTCACCAACCCAGCCAAAGGAAATTACTTTGATAAAGAACATTTTTAAGGGAACAAAGCAAACTTATGACAACATAAGGTATTGGTAATCTTTATACTAATGGGTACCATTTTTCAGCAAACCCAAGCTTGTTTTGTCTCTGTATGCATCAGAACATACCTTTGAACAAGCGGCAAAGGAAGGAAATTGAGGGTGGAAGTCATGTCCAGTCCGCAGTCCAACATAATCGTGGTTGATTTGAATTTGAGCACATTGCATGGTAAGGTTGGGTGCCCGGACAGGCAATACTGAAAAAAATGAAATCACTTTTATCGATAATCAATTACAGAAATAGCCTAAGAAATAAAGTAAGTTAAGTAAAACCAATAACCTTTTCTGGTAAGAACAACATGTAAGCTCAGCTAACTTTCTATGTGGCTTCCTTCCTCTTGCTGCTTGGGCACTACTTTTCCTAACAGTTCAAAATATCCAAAAGTCTCAGATCAAACCTGCCTTTTCATAGGGTACCAAGTCATATCCCAGGCAAGCACAGTTTCACAGGGGCCACAGTTATTCAAAATGGAAGGTTTCAAGGCTATGGTTATCCATATCTATTCCATTCTCAGGCGACACTTCCAAATTCCCACTATCCGGTCTGCAGGGAAGTAATGCCTACAGCTGTGGAAGTCAACAAATTTCTAGGCTGGATCCTCCAACTGTGCTCTAGGTTTGGTTTTCTCCTCTTGTAAATAAGTGACTTTCCTGAAAGAGGAAGTGGTTGCAAAGGTTAACTAACAAGCACCAATAAAGGTTTATGGCTTAGCCTTGTCAGAAGAACAAGTGACTTCCCTGATGTGCAGACACCATGCAGGAGTGTGGGACATCTACTCTCAACCACTCAGGAGTCTCTTGCCTGTGGCAGCAGAGCCCAGAGGTCAAAGGGGCAGAGGCCACAATGATGAGGCAAGACAACACACTGACCCTAAACATTTCTCAGGTTCTCCTCGATGCAGCAGAGGTGACAGATCTGCCACACTGAAAATTATCTATATGGATGGTGCCCTGTCACCTTTGATAATTCTATTGCTGCTCTGAAGAAAAGAAATGGAAGAAGACCTTTTCCCCCACTTTTAAAGTCATTCCATAGAAGCCTCCCTTAAGCAGCGAAGCCCAGAAAATGAAGGGATCAGTGTTCAGGAATCCCTTGACAAGTCCATTCATCCTTCTGATCTGAGCACAAGGATAGCACAAGTCAGAGTGACACTACACAACGCCTGGCCCCACATGGCCAGAACCACTTAGGCTAAGTCTTTCCAGGTATTTGTTGCTCCTGTTTGTGAGGTTGATAAATTTTCTACTTTTCTCTAGAGGACGTTATAAGAACCGATTATCTTTTAAAACTTTATGTTCTGAAACTGAAAAGGCCAAGAGCCAAGAAATTATGGATATTTTGCAAGCATCCTCTTTATTCCAAGTAAATGTATGATGAGTACATTTTACCAAACCAAAATTCACAACTCATGGTCTGAAAAGGCACAGAGTACCTACCAATGATGACAATAATCAAATTATTTAAAATTGCAATTGTTCTGAAGAAGTCCTGGATGCATGATTCAGGTAACTATATTTTACATAAATTCCTTCTTTGACAGGTATTAAAATTACAGAAAATTTTTCCTACTAATAAAGACAGAAATATCCCTATCCCTACTATCCATCTGGTTCCCTATTAGTAGCTTGGTCTTTATTTCTACCTAAGGAATATTTGTTAAACTATCTCAAAACAAACTCAAAGTCTCATGTTAAACTGATTCCAAATGTAGCAAATGTTCCAATAAGAGCTTTCCTATCATTCTCTTTTCAAAGATAAAAAATCAGATATTCAGAAAAACCTGGAAGAAAACAATGAAATGTGTATAATGGCTGTCTCTGAGTGGGAAGATAATTGTGCAGTTTTCTTCTTTCAGCTTTCTCTATTTTCCAAATGTTAAGCAATGAGCATTTCTACATTTTTATAATCAGAAAAAAATATGATTAAAACAAAATTGAAAATTTAGCAAGCCACACTGAATGACAAAATCTTTTTTATCTTCATCCTTAACTCTAATTTATGGATAAGATACACCAAAAGACAGAAGAACAATATGTAAACTTGCTGCTCAAAAGATTTTGGCAAAGGACGTTAGACTTTACATTTGTTACTGTCATCAAAGGACAAACAGAAGTGAGGAACACTTTATGAGGGCTATAACCAAATGGAAGAAATATTTCTAGAGCACCTAGTAAAGGTGCCAGACCCTGAGCTCATTAGCCTTATTTGTATGGATAGGGAAATTGAGCTTTACAGTTTGAGTGGCTTGTCTGGGAAGAGCCAAAGACACACAGCGAGGTCCCTGACTCCGTAGAGCCCACTCATGACTCCCAAACTGCACTGCTCACTGTGGGTCAACTGAGTACACTGAGACACTGAGCAGCTGGCCGAGGTTTGCACACCAGCTTGGGAGGCACCTGCAAAGGACCCAGAGATTGTTGCCTCCAGGGATGCTCTTTGTACCTTTCTAATATGCAGCATCCAATGACCAAGCAGCTTATCATTGAGACTAATGCATAAAACGAGTAAGTAATCACTTGGTTTTAATTTTAAAACTAGAAAGAAGTCTATAACACAAAAAGCTTGAAAAATAATGGGAAGAAAATATTACCTACAATCACACCGATCTGATTATTATCATTTTTAAATTCTCTATCTTTTTTTCATATTTGCAAAAGCTATATAATTTTAGTGTTCATACCAATCTGTGTGCTGCTTTTAAAACTCATGATGACTATGTTTTGTTTATGTTGCATCACACTTCATTTTTATTGGCCTAAGTAAATACGCCATCGTTTGTTTAGTCATTCCCTTACAGCAGAACATTTAGAGTTGCTTCCAGCTGCTTTGTAACAAACATGGCTGTGGTGATCACTTTAGTGCTTCAGGCTTTTTCCACATTGGACTATTTCTTTAGGATTCCCAGAAGTGGCATTAACTAGGTCAAAAAGATATGAGCATTTTATGGCTCTTGAAATCTGCTGCCAAAATGCTTTCCAAAAAAGGCTGAACTTATTTACAATGTCATTGGTAATATATCAGAAGATCTGTTTCACTGCTCATACCCACCCAACGTTATAGTCGAAACCATTTAGATTGTCAAAATGCAGCTATAACCTTAGTAGTAGACATCTAGGTGTAATTAAATGGTCCTAACCAAGGAAAGTCAACTATTTGACAAATTGCTTTTGTTTTGAGAGGCAGTTTGGTGAAATTATTATATATAAAACAGGAAATTTGCAGTTAAGACCGCCTGGGCTCAAATCCTGGCTGCACTCATTATCAATGTGTGATTTTGAGAAAGTTACTTAACTTCGTAAAGACTCAGTTTCCTCATCTGTAAGATGTATTAATAGTAATAGAACCTATCCTTGTAGAGTTGTTGTCAGGACTAAATAGATGGGTACAGTGCCTGGCACATAATATGTGTTCATTTTTTGTTGCTATAGTTACAGAATCATTAAGGGGCTGAAGAGGTCATCTAAGTTTAGGGGGAATAATTTATATTTTATGGTGGCATTCACTGATGTTTTAGATATTTGTGTATCCCCTAAGACCAGGTAAAGTAAATGAGCAATTTTACAAATATTGCCCATTGCTAGCTTGCCCTCCAGGAACACAGATCCACTACAGAGTAAACATGTGAATATTCTGGCCAACATAAGGTTTTACAATTTTTATTTTTTTCTAGCTTAACAAGCACATAGCAATGCTTTCGTGTTAATTTTATTTCTATTTTATTACAAAGCTGTAGGTTTTTCTGTGTCACAATTTACAGTTGGCCCTCAATAGCCACGGGTTCTGCATCCACAGATTCAACCAAGTGCAGATTGAAAATATTTGAAACCACCTCCCACAAACAATAAAAAGCAACAAAATAATGCAAGTTTTAAAAATGCAGTAAAACAACTATTTACATAGCATTTATACTGCATTAGGTATTATAAGCAATCTAGAGGTGACAAGGTATATGGAAGGATATGTGTAGGTTATATGCAAACATGCCATTTTATATAAGGAACCTGAGCATCTGTGGATTTTGGAATGTGGACGGTGGGGGGTCTTGGAACCAATCCCCAGCAAACACCACAGGATGACTGTACCGAATATATATTTCCTTCAGTGCCTGTTGCTCTCTTTTTTCCACCCAATAAGTGAAATCTAGTTTTGAATGTTACGTATGCTTAAGATACATAGCATTATTTATATTTTTTAGATAAAAATTTTATCAGTTATACTTAGTGCAAATATTTCCCACTCTGTTACCTTCATCAAAAAACTTTTATTATGAAAAATTTCAAACATACACAGGGTAAACAAAATTAGTATAATGAACATCCACGTATTTATTACTCAGGTATCACAACTATCCACATTCTGCCCATCTGAATGCTTTTTTTCCTTTTGATATCAACACACTTCTGCAGAATAGCTACTGTGTTGTTAAACCCATCTGACCTCTGAAAATACATGTTTTCTTACATGTCCTAAATTGATCTTTTATCCACAACTGAGACAAAAACAGGAGTCTATTTTCCTAAATGTCCTAGCACAATATTAAAGGTGATTCTTTTCACCTTTTAGTTATTCTTGGTTTATTACGTCCTATGTCTGAATTTATTCCTGAAGTCTCTATTTTGTCTACTGGTCTTTGTGTCTTAGAGACCTAAAAATTTTTTTTGCATAGATAATGTGTTCTAAAAGGACTTACTAAGTTGATAAGAATGAGTTCAGTTTATAAGCTAGGTCTGAACAAAGAGAATTATTAACAGATAGCTGAGTACTGCAAGGTAAAGAAAATGTCCCAAGTAGATTAAATTATTACATTGCTCTGCAATCCATCACAAGCAGTAATTTTCCTTTGTCGAGCTTCCCTTTACATTCAAAAAGAGTGATAGGATTATCTCACTGTAAACTAGTTTTACTGCTGAAACTGCCTTTAAATATCTGCAATATAACCTAAAGCTTTACACTGTTAATGCCAATAGCTCTTTATTCTTGTTTGAGAAAATTGCAGTCATAAAGGAACTGTTTTTTATAAGCAAAAGTGTTAATGAAATAAGTTGTAAATGACATCACTAACTTTTCCTCTTTTTCAATTTAACTCATATATCCACTGTGGAGATCTATGAGCAAAGAGAAAAGAGGTTTAGTTTGCTCTTCTCCCTGGCAGTGGAATAAGTATGTAACTGTAGTTGTTTCTGATTCAAATACAAC